GAGTCCACTGTCTGTACTCTGAGTCCACTGTCTGTACTCTGAGTCCACTGTCTGTACTCTGAGTCCAATGTCTGTACTCTGAGTCCAATGTCTGTACTAGTCTGAGTCCACTGTTTGTACTCTGAGTCCACTGTTTGTACTCTGAGTCCATTGTCTGTACTCAGAGTTGTCCTCACCTGTGATGAGACCGACTAAGGCAGAGTCATCAGAGAACTTCTGAAGGTGGCAGTGTGGGGTGTTGAAGATGAGGGTAAAGAGGAACGGTGCCAGCACTGTTCCCTGAGGAGCCTACTGCAGACCAGCGTGTCCGAGATGCAGCCCTGTGTCCTCACATACTGTGGGCGGCCAGTGAGGTAGTTAAAAATCCACTGGGACATGTGGTGATCCACTCCAGATAGCTCCCGCTTGTCCCTCAGAAGTCCTGGCTGGATGGTGTTGAAAGCACTGGAGAAATCAAAGAACATGATCCTCAGTGCTTCCAGGCTGCTCCAGGTGAGTCAGAGCTCGGTGCTGGAGGCAGGTGATGACGTCATCCACCCCGATGCCAGGCTGCAAACTGCAGCGGATCCTATGAAGACCTCACCAAGGGGCGTAGATGGATGAGGACCAGCATCTCCAGGGTCATCATCAGATGAGATGTCGGGGCTACTGGCCTGTAGCTGCTGGGGTTCACTGGGTGTTTGGTCTTTGGTACCGGTACCACACAGGAAGTCTTCCACAGTTGTGGTACTCTCCCCAGCTTCAGGTTCAGGTTGAACATAGTACTCATGATGCCACACAGTTCATCTGCACAGCACCTCAGGAACCTGGAGCTGATACCGTCTGGACCCTTAGCTTTTCACACCTCATTTCTCACCTGGAGAGCTGAAATGGACAGGATGGAGCTGGGGGAGGGAGACTGATGGCTGGAGTCCTCAAAACAGATTTGGGTGGTTAGTGGCTGAGAGCTGCGAGATGTTAAGTCCTGAGTGAGTGGGGTTGAGGATTTTGGGGATGGTTGAGGGCTGCAAGATGTGAAGATTTGATCCAAGAGATTTGTTGTTGGTGGAGGGGCTGACAGAATTGGGGGCTGGGCTGGGGGAGGGGTGGGTGGTTGGTCAAACCTGTTGAAAAACTGATTCAGATTGTTCACCCAGCCCAAGTCTCCTACAGCCTACAACCTTGTTTTATGGCCTGAGATGTTCTTCAGGTTTCTCCAGACCCCACTGGTGTTACCCTGCTGCAGCTGGTCCTCCATCTTGTTCCTCTAGATGTTTTTCCCCTCTCTGATCTTTCTTCTCAGATCCTTCTGCATAGCTCGCAGCTCCTCCTTGTTTCCTGACTTAAAAGCTCTCTTTCTCCTTTAGCAGAGCCTTTATTTCAGGGTTGATCCAGGGTTTGTTGTTTGAGAAGCACCGTACCATCCTGATGGGTACAGTGTTGTCCATGCAGAAGTTTATGTAGTCCATGATGCAGTCTGTGATGTTGTCAATGTTTTCTCCATGAGGAGTACAGAGCTCTTCCCACACCGTGGAGCTAAAACAGTCTCTCAGAGCTTCTTCTGTCTCCTCGGTCCATTTCCTTGCCGTACGTGTCACCACTAATCGTGTTTCCATCCAATTACATCCAATTTTAATTCGAATTTTGAACTAATTTTAATAATTTCGCAAAAAAGGAAAAAAATTAAGAAATGCGAATCAAACGGAGTTTCCATCAACTGGCTTGAAGCGAATCAATTACGTCATACGCATGTGCGCAGTAAACAGGAAGTAACCGTCGCTAAACTCGCAGGGTCCACACATCTCAGGATAATGGAGAGAAGTTAACAGGAACGCGTTGCTACTATCATGAAAGTTGTAATTATTCTGCTATCAACTAGTTTTGGCCATGTTACTGCTGTCTGGAGACGGGATTGCTGAGAAGACGCCGACAGCGGGAGGAGGGTTATGCTGCTTTCACACCGAACGCAATTTCAGCTTCAAAATCGCAGCCAACTCTGAAGTTGGTCGCTTGTGCACTTTGAGGTCAGACGCAGGTCAGCTCTTGAAGCGCTGCACTGCAACAGCCTCCCCGCCCCTCCCTCCTCTGTCAGGCTCTGTTCAATGTCAAATGAGGAAGTGGCTTTGCTTTATTTACAGAGAGCAAGAGCATGTCACGTTCATCAGATAATTAATTCATAATTAATTCACCAGATAATTCAGAGACATTCTGAGTTTCATCACCCAGGAGCTGCGGTAGAGGCTCACAGCTCGCTTTCAGGACTATTTTTGTCCCGAGTCCAGTCTGATGAGCCGCTGCCACGCATTGGTGCGGATATCTCTGTCAGGACTCTGACTGCAGGCACTCGATTTCAACTAAAGAGCTCCTCTCCGTCTGTTTCAGGTTAGTGGACATCATTCAGTAAACTGTCCCGTCGGGAAATATTTTGCTACGTCACACAGTGGAGTCTCTTTGATTAATTGACGCGGCGCGTCGAGCTGCAAAAGTTCAGATTTTCTAACTTCAGTGATTTGCGCCTCAGCGCGTCGAACGCTCAGATCGTTCAGATCGTTCAAATCGCGCTGCTCTAATCGCGCTTGAAGCACCGCAGCATTTCCCGACGCTGATTGAAGTGCGTCCACCATAGACTTTGCATGTAAACCTGAGGCTCCTGATGCTGAAATCGCGTTCGGTGTGAACGCACCATTATGCTTCAAGTCGCGGCTGCAGCCGACCTGAAACTGGTACCGGTACCAGGGAACAGCTGATCAGCTACGTGAGGTAAATGTTCGCTACGTCACAACTTATTCGGCAAAAGTGTTTCCATCTCTCCTTTTGCGCATTAAGTGTTTTTCGAAAAACCCAAAAACCACCTCAAGTGAGCGTAAAAACTTTTTAGCGAATTGAGGATTTTTTTTTTTCGAATTTAGCTGTTTCCATCCGACATTTTTTTCGCATTTTTAATGCTCACTTCTAAATGCGCATCAAAAAGCCTTGATGGAAACACACTTACTGGTTCCGTGCATGCCAGAGGTATGTAAACAGGCTGGAGATGAACCAGGTTATGGTCAGACCCTCCCAAAGGATGCAGTGATGATGAGTTCTATGCATCCTTGGTGTTGGCATACAGTAAATCCAGTGTGCTGGTATTTCTGGTGTGGCAGGTGACATATTGGGTGAAGTTAGGCAGAGTGGATGACAGAGACACATGACTAAAGTCCCCAGAGATCAGAAAGAGGGCCTGTGTGTGCTGTGTTTGGAGTTTGCTGGTTATTGTGTGGAGTAGTAATGCGCGATATAAACGATATACGGTAGAAACGATATAAATTTGTCCTATGATAGAGATCTGTAGTCTACCAGCCAACCGCGCAATTCTTTTTGATGACGTAAGCGGCTGGAGTCAAAACAGAGGAAGCGGGAAGCAGCATGGCTGAGAGCGCAAATGAAGAGCAAAAAAAAAAAAAAAAACTTATACGGACCTGGTTCAGGTGTGCGAAAATGATTGTCAAACTGTTTACATATTTACGTGACGGCGCGTCCTCCGGTCAGCTGCCGAACGACCACACTGCCTGCTGCAGGAGGAGCGCGCGCCGCGGCGCATGGTGACGCAGCGAGGCGACTGTCAGTGCTCCATTGGGACGCACAAAAGCTCACTGAGTCAGGACCTCATTTCTCCTGCTGTCATAGCGCAATACTGTCTCCTTGTACAGCAGGGAAGTGCTGTGGGACAGGCTGACAGTCAGACTATCTTTCCAAAAAATAAAAAATAAAATAAAGTAAAGCATAAACGGGATGATTGTCACCTTGCCGGAGCGCGCACAGATTAAACACGTGGAGGGCAGAAAAAGTAATCTGCAAAGTGTGTAGAAAGGAATAAACACAAGCAATTTGTTTTACCACCTTAAAA